TCTCTAGCCGCTGGCCCTGGGATTGATCCCCGCCCCGGGAAATGTCAGCTGATGGGAGGATGGTGCTGCAATCCCTGGAGTCTCCTGGAGAAGCTCTTCTGCCCGTGCACGTGCTCTTGCTCGAATGTCAGTTTTTGGCTATGCTTCCTGGGGCTGCCCTGCCCAGCACTGGCTCTGCTCCTCCCTTGCTGGGGCAAGGACGCACTTGGCCTTACAGCTCCAAACCCCTCCGCAGCGCTTGGGATCCTGCGGAGGAGGAAGGAAGATGGACCCTCTGCAGGGGAGGTGGGGGCCGAATGATCCTTTCACAAGATGGAAAGCTCTGCAAAGGATGGACGTGTTCTCTCGGGGACTGTGAGACCAGCCTGGGGCTGAAAGCAGCCAGTGGCATTTTGGAAGGATCTTGTGAGCCGCTGCAGCTGTGCTGGGGTTTGCCGGAGCTCCGTGGGCCTCCTGGGTGAGAAGGGGCTGGGCATGGAGGAGGGCCAAGGCCTAGAGAGGACAGTCTTGCTGTGTGCTGGTCTGCAGCATTCGGGCATGCCACCAGTCAGGGCCACGAGTGGGGAGTGGGCCCCCCACTGTCTGTGCAGGCTGGCCCTCCTCCGCCTCTTCCCGTGGCTCTCCCAGGGTCAGGTACTTGTTTCAGAGTGGGGTTTCTGAGGTTCCCCTTGTGATAACAATGCATCTCAAAGTCCTCCAAGTAGAAATCCCCTGTCCCTAGGAACATGCCATCCCAGAATAAGTGAGCCGTGGGTCCCTTCTGCATCCTCCTTCCATCCCCTCCTCGCCCACCTTCCCCACAGCTCAGCATCGTGGGCTGAGAGGGAGAAGGGGCTTGGTCTCACCGTGCTGGGAAGGGGAGTTAGAGGGGATGTGTGGCGTGAAGCCTGTGAAGGTGGTTAGGAGGCTATCTCTGCCTTTTCCAAGTCTGGTTTGCCTCATCACGGGCTTACGTCTCTCGAGGCCCAGTGTAAGTAACGCTGATGTTGATTTCTTTACAACTGGGCAAGAAACACCATCAGGATTCCCAGTGCAGGCTTGTTTCCTTCTTATGCCACTGCCTCGAGGCAGGGCGTGCAAACACAACCACTTTGCACGCGTCCTCAGAGTTCTCCTTGGGGCCATGCAGACCTGGGTTTGGGTGGGTTGCCTCTGCAGGGTCTCCGTCCCCGCCTCTGGTGTGGGCCCCGGCCGCAGCGGCGGCAGCGCTGCTGAAGTGCTGACATCCCTGTGCGTTCACCTCTGTCAAAGCTCGGGGAGAACGACTGCTGGAGAGGGCAGGGCTGAGGTGAGGGGCCTTTTCTCCAGGCTTCTGGGAGGGAAGAGCAAACAATGGAGCTCCAGAGCCTGGGAAGAGCTGCCGGATATGCTGGGCCTGCTGGAGCTCGGTGCCGGCTGGGAAAGCCAGTGCTAGGTCGCAGTGTTTATATTGGAGCTGCTTGAAAGCATTCCTCGAAGGAAACGTCTCCAGGGACTCAGCAGCGTCTCTGCTGCTGGTGGCTGAAGAGCATGGCCGAGAGGCTGCACTGGGACGTTTCTCCACCACTGACTTTGCTTTCCGTCGGGGCTTTCACTGCTCAGAAGGCAAAGGCTGAACATTTTTCCATGCTGGGAAGTCAGGAAGTCCCCGTTCTCCTCTGCTTTGTCTTTTCAGCGGTGTGGGGATGGGGTTGAGGGAAGATATGGCCCCAAGAGATGGTTCACAGCAGTGGAAATGGTCCTTTCAAAAAAGCCTTGTCTTCTCTGCGGTGGTGCCTCTTCCCTCTGGTGGCTGGGGAGGCTGGAGACAGCACGTTGTGGCCGAGATGAGACTGGCAGGTGAAGTGGGATATGGCACATATTTAGAGGTTTCACTTCTCCATCATGTTCACTTACAAACTTCCTGGTCAGGCTGGAGCTTGGCATCCTCTGCCCTCAGTGACACTGGAGCGGCACAGCTCCGCTGTCTCCTCCATCCCTGTGAGATCCCCTCTGGATATCCCAACTGAGCTGTGCAAAGACACTACTGTGGCACGAGGAACATGCCCAAGTCCCACACCAGCCCTAAAAGCAAAGCTCCTGGGTGCAATACCCTCTCCTTGAAGGTGGAGTGCCCATGGGCACACAGCGGGCATTGGGGTGCCCCGGGGAGGTATCGATACCTGGTGGGTGCTGAGGAACCCCTGGCAAATGATTGGGTACCTGGACCAGTCCTCACATCCCGAATCGCAGCCAGGCGGAGTGGTGGCACGGTGGCCTCGCTTGTCTCCCGCCTCTGACTGCGCCGCTGCAGCCCGCCCTGCTCGGCCGCCCGGCGAGGCCGTCGTGCAGAAGGTCCCTGTGCCGTCATCCCCCGAGAGCTGCCCGAGCGCCGCTGGGCTCTGCTGGCTCCGGGGCTTTGCAGTAGTTGGTCTGAGACGGTCCGGGGTGGCCTGGGACCTTTTCTTCAGCCCTGTTGGGGCACAGACGGCAAGTGCCAAAAACCTGCTGCAGGGAGGCTTGCTGCTCCCGGCAGAACCCCTTGCCTCGCTGCCTTGCTGTGGTGTCTGTCTAACCTGTCCTGCTGTCCTGCCGGCTGGTCTCAGGGCATCTGCGGAGCAGGCGCAGGAAGAGCCCCGCACCAGCATGGAGCTCCTGCTGCTCCGCGCCGCGTCTCGCCTGCGTGGCTGAGCCCGTGCCGAGGCCCCGCCTGTGCTCCTGGGCAGCGCTGAGGCATGGGATGCCATCCTCCCACCTGGGTGAAGTGACTCCGGGCAGCGAGGAGCCGTGGCGCTGTGGGCGAAGGAAGAACCTCGGGAGGTGGCCCGTGGGATGCAAGGTGCGGGGTTGTTTCCCAACCCTGGGGGGTGTCTCGAGTCGGG